CTTCGCCGCGTCGTTTGGAGGTGAGCCGCACGTCTCCGTAGCGGCTGGGACGCTGACACGCGTGTTTCACGAGGCTCTCTGTGGGGCACACGTGGGACATGCGTGGAGATGGAATTCCCGGCACCCTCCGCGGTTGTCCTCGAAGTCGCGCGGGCCGGGTCAAGCGCTTCAGACGCCTCTGACGGCCCTGGGCCGGGTGTGGAGACGACGGCCGCACGGGCAGTGGCCAGCATCGCGCCTCTGCTTCGCTGCGGCAGCAACGGCCCCTCGGGGCCCGCGTGTGGGACGCTGTCAGAGGTGACACGCAGTTCTGACACATTTCTAAAACCCGAGCCCCTGAAACACAAGCAACGTCCAGCATTCCTGGGAACCTGCCTGCTGCTGCCTTTAAAACCATGCACATCTGTGTTTAGAAGCAGAAGCAAATGCTGGTTCTCGATCTTGCTTCTGTTTCTCGCGTTTTTCCTGTGGCTGCGTGAGCCACGAACTCGGCTCCTGTGGACGCGCCCGTCTGCCCGGGGCTCGTTTCAGATCGTTGGCTTTCCATGCCCTTCATCCGAGACGAACGCCAGGGCACGCGCGGAAGCGCTGGGAATGACTTCTGTTTCTACAGAAAAGGGGAGCTGGTTTGTTTTCGAGGGGTCGCCACTTCTAACTAACTCCTTCCCTGCTCGCGGGCTCTGGGCTGAGTGGGGAAAGGCCGGCAGCCACTCCGAACCCCTTTCCAAGGCCGCGGTGCCGTCAGCAGGGCAGACTGGGGCAGGGTCACGGGCAGGTCCAGAGTCGCTCTCAGAAGCAGAGTCGCGTGGGAGGCGTTTGCTCCGTGGTGGCGCTGTGTGGCCTGTCACCGCCCAGAGCAAGCTGTTTCATTGCCCTGGGTCTCGGAGCCTTGTCTGTAAAACAAACAAAACACACAGCAGACAGCTCTAAAGGCCTTTCCGACTTCCGTGTTTTGTCACAGCGTTTTCCAATGTTGACGTGAAATGTTTGGAACGCCACACAAGCCGTGCTGCTGAGTGGCGGCCGGGTGCCCGTCCCGCTGGGTCGCTGTGTCTCGCCTGCAGAGGTGTCTCCTGCTGGAGCAGAACCGGCCTGCAGAGTGCACGTCTGCATGTGTGCGTGTGTGTGTGCATCTGTGTGTTCATGTGCGTGTGTGCACACATCTGTGCTCGTGTGCATGTGTGCATGCATCTGTGCACTTTTATGCACATGTGTGCATGCATCCATGTGCTCATGTGTGTGTGTGCACACATCTGTGCTCGTGTGCATGTGTGCCTGCATCTGTGCACTTGTGTGCACATGTGTGCCTGCATCTGTATGCTCGTGTGCATGTGTGTGCGCGCATTTGTGTGCACATGTGCACGTGTGTGCATGCGTGCGTGCTCTGGGCTCTGGGCTGCACTGACCACAGGCACATTCATGTGTGCACATGTGCACGTGTGTGCATGCGTGCGTGCGCACCTCAGGGCTCTGGGCTGCACTGACCACAGGCACATTCAGTCCACCTCCGAAGGGCCAGCCCGAGGGAGCCCGGTCGCACCTCCCACCATGTCGTCCGGCTCGTGGGGGTGCAGGACACGGGTAGCGCTCCAGCAGCTCTGTCCCCCGGAGGGCTTGCTGGTGGCAGGAGCTCTCTGTGGCCAGGTCTGTCGTATTTGCAGTCGGGACGCTGGACGCCTGGCCCAGTGTGGCCACTTCAGAGACCAGACTCTCCGTCTGTCCGCACAGGGCACCAGCGGCTGTCGGTGACCAGCCTGCTCGTCTGCCACGGCCTGCTGATGGTCGGCACCAGCCTGGGCGTCGTCGTGGCCCTGCCCGTCCCCCGTCTGCAGGGCATCCCCAAAGTGACCGGTGAGTAGACGCGTCCGCACCCGGCTCCCTGCCTTCGCCCCTCCCGTGACCTCCTTCGGCCCTCGGTCTGCGTCCTGCTGCGTCGTCCGAGCAGCCGCTTACACAATGTACATCACTGGGGTTTTTCCGAGTGTGCCGCGAGGACCACGTCGATTAATCTGAGTCGTCTTTTCTCTCACCGTTCAGTAGCATCTCAGAACACAGGCTCATTATATATCGCGTCTCTGTGTGTGTCAGAAGTGGGAACACAGATGTCGAGAGACACTGTGGCATTGAGGTGTCGCACGCGGTAACACATAACCGATGCGCTTCCACGCGCTGCGTCAGCCGTCCAGGGAGCGTCTCGGCGTGAACACACATCTTCACGTTGCCTGTCTTGCCACTTGTGGTGTCTATGGTCACACTCAGTTTTCCTCACTGAAAACGATCCCCTCGCGCGGCGAAGCCGGGAGCCGGGAGCCGGGGTCCGGGAGCCCCCGCGTGCTTTCTGCGGCGTGGACAGTCAGTCGGGCGGGTGGGCGCCGCCTTTTCGAAAAGCGAAGGGGCTCACGGACCCCGGGCCTGAAAACCCCCGTGCGTCCGATTCAGGCACCTGTCTGGGGAGACAGCCGGGCGTGTGCACGAAGCGGGATGCACAGGGACGCTTGACGTCCCCTAACGGTCCCGGCTGGGGAGGGGGACGTTCGGAAAGTGGCCGTGTCGCCCACTTGGAGCACAGTGTGTCCAGTGAAAGTGACGTGTGTGAGGTGCTTCGATGTGGAAACGTGTTAATTCTGAAGGGGAAAAAAAACCAAGATCTTCAGCTTTACGTCGATGATATAGTATCGGCCATCTGAGGGGGAAAAACTCTCAGAGAAAAAGATTGGTAGAAAACTCACCAAAATGCTAGTAGGGATTCTGTTTCCGTGGCTTCTTGCTGACGTGGACGCTAGACCACGTCCCCGTGACCGCGGGCACCCCGCCCCCGCCGGCAGCTCTGTGCCGGACCGACCGGGACCTCGAGGGGGCCCAGCTGTGAGCGTTAGGGACCCCAGTCCTGTCTGTGCCATGCTCCGCATCCCACACCTGCACGCTGTCCGTGGGGCACTCACACGAGGTCCCCGAGCCCTGCCCGGCGTCGGCAGGGGACGGCTGACCTCCGGGTCCTGCTGCCCCCGCCCCCGGCCGTGGCGACTCTCCCCGAGTGTCCCATCACGTCCCGCTGACCCGCTCTGTGCTTTTGCCGGCTTCTCCCTGCGACGCGTCTCTGCACTCACCTGCTGGCTCACACGGTTGTGTCCGCCGTGGCTCCTCCTCCCAGCCGTGTTCCTGAGCCACGGCCTCGCTGGGCAGCTGTCCCTGGGGCGTGCGTGCTCGCTACGCGCCTGGGCGGCCCGAGCGTCCCTGGGGCGCTCACTGGGTTCCAGGCCTCGCGTTCCGTGCGGTGCCTCCTGTGGGGCGTGTCGAGCGCGGACTCGCTGGGGTGTCGGGGACGCAGGTGCTCAGCGTCAGCAGGCGGGGCGGGGCTGGTGTCCCAGCTCGCCGTGTCAGGTGACGCCTGCAGTGCAGTAGGTGCGTCCAGCCCCCGTGTGCCCACACTGCCCACTGCTGGAGGACCCTGCCAGGCCCGTTCGCCGGGGACACACCCAGCATGGCGAAGAGCCCGGCAGTTTAACCTGCTCGGGCCAGGGTGAGGGCTGCGGCCTTGCTTCAGCCCAAGGCGTCCGGTGACAAGGTCCATGCTTCCTAGATTCATGTCACGTCACCTGCGACGTGCTCCACCACTGTGGAGGCACCGTCCCCGCTGGCCTCAGGAAGCCAGTGCCCGGGGTCGCGTCTCCGGGGGACCTGGGGAGCTTGACAGTGCTCTCGGGTCCGATGGTGGCTTTACAATTAGAAGCACATCACCTTTAACCCGGAAGTCCCCACTTTAATGAAAACCACAGAACTAACTTGTTCTAAACCTCAGAACCTTTTCGTGGTGAGAAGTGGCAGGAAGGGGCGGCCCCTGCTCCTAAAACGGGCCCATTTCAGTTGCATTTCTTTAGCGGGGACTCGGGAAAGCCAGGCCGGGTCCGCAGAGCAGTGAGCGGCGTCCGTGCCGAGGCCGGGAAGGACAGCATTTCCTCACTCGAGATGCGCGCGGGCGGCGATGCTGCCGGCCGTCACCAGAGTGTCGTCATCCGGCCTGTCCCCGAGCGGCAGGGCTGCTCCCCGGGCCCCGTGGCTGGGCGGGGGGCACGCGGGCTGAGTCTGCAGGCGCCCTCGTGCAGGCACCCGCTGAGCACACCCCCTTCCAGGCAGAGGCATGGTGTCCTACCACGCGCACAGCGGGCCTGTCAAGTTCCTGATCGCGGCCACCACCGCCCCCAAGGCAGACAAGGACAAGCCCAGGGCCAGCCCAGCCCCAGGCGCGGACCCCCAGGACGCAGACCAGAAGGACGCACTGCCCGGCGAGGGCGCCTGGCCCTGCCCGAGTCAGCACAGCTCCGACGCCGTGTGGCTGGGGACTTCCCCGGGCTCCGCGACGCACCGAAGTGGGCTCTCGTCGTCCGGGTCCCTGGAGCCCGGGTCCGAGGACGGCTTCGACCTCCTGCAGCATCCCGGCACCACGCCGGCCCGGGGGCCGTGCGCCAGCTCCGCGAGAGTCAGCTCCGTGCTGCTGGCCTGCGGGGGCCAGGGCCACCGGCGCTTAGGCAGGAGGGCCCGGCAGCCGCGGCCAGAGGAGCTGGTCTCCTCCGTCATGGTGTGGCGGATCCCCCTGCTCAACGCGTGAAGGCGGAGTGAAGAAGCATGGGGCGTCGCGGGGAAGAAGCATGGGGCGTCGCGGTGCTGGCTCCTGCTCCCGCCCGTGGCTGCTTCTCTTCCATGCGCAGAGCTGGACACACACGTTTCCTGAGACAGCAGAAGAGGCAGGGGATGCTCGAGTGACGGAGCCCGGACCCGCCCGTGTCCTGTCGCTGGGGCGTCTGCGAACGAGCCACGTTTGGCCGCGCAGGGATTTAGTAACAGCTCTTCCCACAGCTTCGCTGGATTCGGATGCGCTGCGTTTATTTATGTCGTGGGTCTTCTCCTTCCAGAGCAGAGTCTGTATCAGTGAGGGAGCCGCCGGTCCGGGCCGTGCTTCGCTTCCCGAACAAGCCGAGCTTCCTAAAGTGGCATAATGTGTATGTTGTATATTTTAACAAAGTAGTATTTTTATATTTTTTGCATTTTTTTTGTATTAAAAAGTTAACAGTTAATGTTTTAGTCAATATGTCATATGTAACATTTCACTAATAATGTCTGCTTTGAACCAAAATGCTCAATACCTATCAACATTTAGGCTCCAGCGGTGACACCAAGATGTTCTCCTGTCTCGTCTTACGGAGAGTTAACGTCCGCACGGGCATCACAGGGGGCGTGTCCTGGTCGATCTTTCGTGCCGTTTCTTGCACCTGTCGACCTGAAATGCTGTCTCTGAGCACATTCTGAAGGACTCGCGGTGCTAGTGAATGTGGCTGTGCCATGGCTGGCAGTGGGACGCGGGATGAGGCAGGTGACACGCCCATCACAGGCCCTGCCATCGAGCTGCCTCCTGCTCGTGCGCAGGTTTGCAGAGCCGACCGCGAGGGCAGGTGTGCGAGGGCCCAGTCCGGCGGTCGGTCCCCTGTGCTCCACCCGTGTTTACACGTCACTGTCTTACTGGGTGACTAAAAAAGCTAATGCAGGCGTTCACCAGAAATGAATTTCTTAGCACTTTACAGATGACTAAAAATGCTAATTTTATGACTTAGCCGAATATTGTCCAAGGTGGAAGTAATTCTCTCCAAGCTTTCTTAAACTGTTAGCTGCTGTCTTATTTTATGAATAAAACCTTTTTATTTAAAATACCACGTTACCGAGTTGCCTTTTTCCCCCATCGAGCATGGCGGGGCGGCTGCGTGCCGGGCGTGAGGGGCTTTCCGAAGGTCCCTTCGCTGCGGCCTCAGCCGGGCTGCTGTGCCAGTCCTCGCGCGAATGCCAGCGTCGGTGGCAGAGTGGGGGGCGGGACCCTTGACGCCGAGGTCGGTGCAGAGGGGCTCCCGACACAGGAAGCTCACGTGTCCTCGCCGTGAAAAGCGTTTGCTTTGGGTGATGTCACGAGCCACGCGTAAAACCTGAGGCGAGGCCCTTGCGCTGGGCCCCAAGGTTCCAGCGCGTCCGCGTCCGGCTCGGCTGTGCCTGCTCCGTGCCTGGCTCCCGGGAGCTGCTTTGGTCCCCTTGCCGGGTCAGAAAGCTCTACTTGCGAGGACCAAACTTTCCTAAGGCAGAAGAAAGACATGGAAACAGCCCTGGCTGGACGAGGACAGCGCGTCCCCACCCCCTGGGGGGGCGGCGTGAGAGAGCCTGCGTGCGTCGGGGTCATGCCGTGCTGTGTGCCACAGAGTGTCCCCGGGCCGTGCGGCCCCCGTCCCTCAGCGCCGCTTGCGGAGTCTGGGCAGGGGGAGCCCCGTGGGGGCGGGGCCCGTGGGACCTGGGCCTGGCTCACGCATCTGCCCGGCCTGACGTGGCCCAGAGTCCTCATCGAGGAGGCCAGTGTCACTGACGCCCGTTCGGGCTCCCGTCCTGACGTCAGAACCACAGGCGGGGAGTTTGGGGCAGTGCTGCGGACTGGACGTGCCCCCACCCCATCCTTGTGTTGGAATCCTGCTGCCCACGGTGGCCGCGTTAGAGCCTGTGGGAGGGGCAAGGTCACCCGGGCAGAGCCCACGTGCCGGGATGTGTGCAGGGTGTGTCCCCTTTGTGGGGGGTCGGCTGGCCGGCTCAGAAAGCCTTCCCAGCAGAGAAGGGATGCCCCGGGGACACGGGGGTCCATCCTGTGCTCAGACCCCGGCTCAGAGCCCGGCACCCAGTGCGAGCACAGACGTGGGGAAGGCGGACACGTGGCTCCGCTCAGCCCCGGCGGCCCCTGCCTGGCTCAGTGACCTCCGGGCCGACGGCTTTCCTTGGGAGGCCGACCACACACGATGACTCGTGCGTCACCCGCCACGCCATCCAGGGCTATGTCTGACACGCCATGTAGAAATGGGAGCTTTGCAAACGTAGGCGTTTGATTTTCTGAATCACGTCTCGAAGATCTTTTTCTGTAAATTGATTTGTTAGTAAATCATTT